TGCTCTTGTGAAGTCTTCTCTTGATTGTAGACTTTGACAATGATATGCCCACTTCCTGGAGAGTGTCCTTCACTTGTCTGGATGTTGTGAATGGGTTTTTCTTTACCATAGAAAGAATCCTGCGATCATGCACCACTGTTGTCTTCCATGGATGTCCATGCCTTTTTATGTTGCTGAGCTCACCAGTGCATTCTTCTTTACTCAGAATGCACCAAACTGATGATTTGGCCACTCCTAATGTTGCTGCTATCTCTCTGATGGATTTGTTTATTTTTGAAGCCTTACAATGGCCTGTTTCACTTGCATGGACAGCTCCTTTGAATGCATGATGTACAGGTGAAACTCGAAAAATTAGAATAGGGTGCAAAAGTTCATTTATTTCAGTAATGCAACTTAAAAGGTTAAACTAATATATGAGATAGACTCATTACATGCAAAACAAGATAGTTCAAGCCATGATTTGTCACAATTGTGATGATTATTGCTTACAGCTCATGACAACCCCAAATACAAACACAAATACCACACTTAGAATCAACTCCAGACCTTTTACCTGCTTAATTGATGAATTAATAACAAAGGAGTAGCCCACACCTGGCCATGAAACAGCTTTTGATTCAGTTACTTTTGGTCCCTTGAAAAACGGGGGATGGCTACTCTTAAGAGCTGTAATTCTTAAACCCTTCCTCCAATTTGGATATACATACCCTCAAATTAAACCTGAGAGTGTGCACTTTCAGCCCATATCCATTTTATAACTATAGCTTGAATATGTTTTGGTAAATATTTGAAATAAATAAAATTGTTTCTGTGTCCTGTGTCCAAATATATATAGACCTAACTGTATATGTGTAATCATCCCGCAAGCAACCAAAAAAAACAAAAAAATAATATGAAAAAACCAACATTCCAATTAAAGTTGCTTACACCCCCTTCACACACTCATCAATGTGTCTCAAAATCTAAAATAAACATATTAATGCAGTGCCTTCCTACTAATAAACACCTCCTGAAAAACTAATCACAAACATAAACGTTCATAAATATTATGAAAAATTATTATAAACTCAAAAAAGAGTCCCATATACAAAAATATATATATATATATATAGAGTCCCATATATAATAGGATCTATATTGATGCTCCTTCACTTTTTCAACACTTCACATCTTCATAAAACAGAAACCATTGTTACAATACCCAGATTGTGTTCTCACCTGGAGCTTTTTGACCTCACATTATCAAGGATTTTGAATTCGTATCGCTCGACGCCCAGGACATGTAGTGCTGGGCAGGTAGTATCCTTCCTCTGATCTCACATTGCGTCATGACGTCAGCTAGCCTCTCCCACGTCACAACGCAACGCAAGATCAGAGGAAGGATACCAGAGGAGGATGTTCTTGTTGATATGCGGTTTATATTTGGTGCGATCTAGCACCAAAAACTTGAGAGTGGCATTTTTATATATTTTAAATAAAGTATTTTAAACGATAAAGCAAAATTTCTGCTTATTTTGTTTTTTAACCCCTTGACGCCGACGTCATACAAATATGCGGCCTCACGGAACTGGGTTTTTTTTTCCGTGGGGACGCATATTTGCGTACCTGTACCTGTCTTTGTGCTCCCAGCACAAGACCGCGGTGTCACTGAGAGCCCGGGACTCCCGATTCCGGGTCACATGATTGCTGTGATACATATATACAAAAAGTGCAGCACTAAATAAATAATAAAAATCAATATAAACTGTGATACACTCAATCCCCTTAAATGCACAAAACGGGGTATACAAACAATTGTGCAACATGTGAATTCCCTCTACGGGAATATAAGTGCAAGTGGTAAATAATGAAATAGTGATTCACACAAATCAATCAAATATATCACATAAATAAAAACCAGTCCACACACGGTGCATATATATATATATATATATATATATATATATATACACACACACACACTATATATATATCCAATGATGGTGCTCCAATCAACTATCATGCAAGTGACTTGTGTATGTGTCCAATACGTGATCAATCTTTCAATGGCCTGAGTGCCCCCTCACCTCCTTACATCGACCCCACAGGGTCAGCTCGCTGAGGGTACCTGAGGAAGTCATGTACTAATGTGACGCAACGCGTCGGTACGTGAGGAGGTATTTCCGGGTGTGTGGTGACCTCACTTCCAGCGTGGGGGCCATATTGGCACACCTTCTGATACCCCTTATCCCTTATGATTAAGTCGATGACGAAACGCGTCAAGGAGAAGTGACGTCAACACGCACACGGGAACCGGAAGTTGACCGGTGGCCATTTTGGATGAGGGAAAGACCATCTGATTTACCCTGGGCACTTCAGCCAAACTACAATTTGGTATTTTAAAGCGTTTTTCAAGTTTGTAAAATGTAAGCATCCTGATTAAAAGTTAATTTGATGATTGATCTTGGCGGTATCACACTATTGTGTCCCTTATATGTTTGCATTTATATGAAACATGCTTGATGGGGATATATGGAGTCTCAAGGCTTTTTGGATCCTGATGATATTATGAAGGCAGTTTTAACTGGGTAAAGATCCATAGGAGGATTGTCTCCCACCTATCTTTTGGAAAGATATAAAAGTGTCTGTTTTTTGGAATATTGGTAAGGATATGCATTCCTTACTGCACTTAGAAGTGTCACAGTGCCGGTTTGAATAGAGCACTGAAGAGTGATTCACATTCACAGTGGTATTTCATTGTTTTGGATTCACAGTTTTTTTTCACTTTATTCACGTTTTCACTGATTATTAATGTGATTGGGTATCCACTTGAATGAAGTCATTATAATTTATTTTATTGAAAAAGATAATGTAAATATTTTCTTTTTTTTGTGGAATATTATTGGAGGAAGTTTCTGAAGGATTTTTGAATACGATATCATTTGAGAAGAACTTGATTTAAAAACATTTTTTGGACTTATAGGGTTTGGACTGCACATATTTTTATTGAGGACTTATTGTATAGCATCTTCTGTTTATTAATTTTTGTACATCTTTTGGGGTCAAGGTGTAAAGGTGTTTGATGGTGTTGTGGGGAATTGTGTTTATATAGTTTGTTTATTTAGAGAGTGGTTTTGAATTTAATTAGTTCTCTATCAGGTCCACTTTAGTTTTGATTGACAGCGCACAGCAGTGGGCAAATCCAAAGCCGCTATTTTGTTCAATACCAGCTTTTGAATCCGCCTACTGCCATGTGCTGTCAATCACAGGCAAGGCAGATCTGATGGGGAACTAGTCTCTGGCTGCATGAACATTTAGGCAAGGTAAACACTGCTGAGATCTGATTTTCAGCGTGATTATGTAGTGCGGAGGTCAGCAACCAGCAGATCGCGATATACCAGTAGATCTCGGCCAGGTGACTGGTAGATCTCGGTCTGGGCTTGCTTACCCGCCATCCTGGAGGATTAAACAGAGTGCAATGCTGAGGGACTACTTGTAAAGTTGGAGCTGTAGTAGGGAGCAAGAGCCACAAAAGTCGATGTCTCCTCTGTAGTGCCGGCTCCTGTTCCATGTGGAGTGATACCAACTGCACTCCACCTCCTATCCTGACTGGTGGTCTCCAGAGTGGTGCCAGCAGTAGGAAAGAAGAGATCTTCAGGTCAGTGTGAAGCAATACACTGGTCATAATAGTATAGCACTGCTCTCACAATGATGAGCTGCGGTTTCCCCACACCGTGGGTACAGTGCAGTGTACCTGCAGCTTTCCTGGGGGTTTGCTGCACTTAGCCATAGACTTGTATTATATCCTGCGGGTTTGGTGCACTTTCAGAAAGTGCACTACGTGTGCAAGTTTAGCAGCTGCTGCTGCTCCTCTGAAAAGCGAACCAAATTTGTTTGACAGGTGGTGAGGAGGTGATATGTTGCTTCCTCACCACCTGATTTAAACCCATGATTGCCATGCAATGCACACAATTGTGACATGGTAGTAGATTAGAGGTTTAAATCAGGTGTGAGAAGGCGACACTGTGCCCGGTCATCATTGACTTCTCCCATGTTCTTCAGGTAGATCTCCATCCCTTTAAGGTTGCCTACCCCTGATGTAGTGCTGCTTGGAGATTTGTATATTTTATGCGGCCAAAATTGCAGAATCACTCCAAAGTAGTACAGGAACCTTTTCCTAAATGAGGCTGTGCTAACAGCATTTTGGCACATAGAGTACTAGTGAATAGTGAATCACTTTTCAAGGCAAAATAACACATGGAACTTATGTAATGGCATTGTCAACTTAGCATATGGAAAATGCTGTAAAATGATGTATGGTGCTTTGTTATTCCCCCAAAATGTTTTTGAATCAACCACTTGAGTTAACCACTTGCCCTCCTAAGGATTTACCCCCCTTCCTGACCAGGCTATTTTTTGCGTTGTGGCACTGCGTTACTTTAACTGACAATTGCGCGGTCATGCAACCCTGCACCCAAATGAACTTTATGTCCTTTTGTTTTCCACAAATGGAGCTTTCTTTCTGTGGTATTTGATTGCCTATGTGTTTCTTATTTTTTTGCGCTATAAAAAAAGACAGACAATTTTGAAAAAAAAAAAATATATATTTTTCGCTTTTTGCTATAAACATGTCCAGTAAAAAATGTAAAAAAAAATCAAATTTCATCATAAATTTAGGCCAAAATGTATTCTGCTACTTGTCTTTGCCAAAAAAAGTCCCAATCCATGTAAATTAATTGATTTACGTGAAAGTTATAGCGTTTACAAATGGCGGTATATATACTGGGATTTTTTTTTAATTTTTATTTTTACTAGCAATCAGCGACTTATAGCGGGAACTGACTTGGTGTCACTGACATCAACAGTGACACCAATACAGTGATCAGTGCTAAAGAAAACTTCACTGACACTGTGCTAATGGAACTGGGCAGGAAGGAGTTAAAATGAGGGGCGATCAAAAGGTTAATGGTAAGCTGGGTGTGTTTTACATAGGGGGCCTTGTGTTTTTGCTTCACTGTAAGCACACTGGTTTGTATGGCTGTGCTGTACACAGCCATGCAAAGCAGTGTGCAGGTGCTGACAGGGAGGAGAACTGTTTTGTTTACAAACAGTTCTCCTCCCTGTCGGAGATCCTCAGCAATCTCCGGGCACCGGCAAGTAATCACCAACCGGGACCTGGTGATTGACAGCCGGAGCCAAGCGTGCCCCCTACCCGTAAATGCAAAATCACGTGTATATATATGTGATTTAGCGCACTCATGCTGCTCTGTATTTCTGCTATAGGGCGGACGGGAAGCGGTTAATGAAAGTTTAATTGCACTGTGCTCTTTGAAACAACAGACAACAATGTATCCAGACAGATCCTTCTTGTGAATCAGGAATATCATTGTTGTGTCCTTACAGGATAAACATTTACAGAAAGCTAGCCATTACTCCTTCTGTGATGACTTTTCTAAATGGGAAATAACTCTAATCCAGGGGCGGACTGACCATTTGGAAACTCAGGCACTACCCGAGGGCCCGGGGTCAGTAGGGGGCCCCATGAGATGCCCCTGGTACCTTTTTCATAGGCTTTTTTGAGTTTGGGCAAGGACACAGGGGCCCCATGATCCCCTATTGCCTGGGGGCCCCATGAGTGTTGGAGGAGCTGCTATTATTTTCTAGTACTGTTCCTCAAACATACAGTATATATGGATGAATGAAAGAAATAAACCTGTCTCAAACTAGGGCAGTGGTGGTCAATTCGAATTTTATGGAGAGCCTCAAGTATGGCCACACAATAGCAGCTCATTTTTGTACATTGCAGTACAGTACATTGTGTTGAGTTAGGCATCCTATTCAAAATGAATAGGCTGTAATGCACCTCAAGACCTGAACATTTTGGTCCTGTATTTTTTTTTACACACCAAAGTGACAGCAGGAGGAAAACAAACCCCATTGTTAGTGGCAGTGACAATAATACTATCAGCATTAGTGTCAAAAGCCACAATAATAAACTGCAGCACTGGTGCCTGTGGACATATTAACCCCCAGAATTGATGACAGTGACCGCAATAATAACCCCCATCACCAGCGTCAGTGACCACAATAATAACCCTCAGCATTGGTGACAGTGACCACAATATAATCCCCTGGCACTGGTGTCTGTGGACATAGTAACCCTCTGAATTGGTGTCAGTAACTGCAATAATAACCCCAAGTATTGGTGTCAGTGACTGCAGTAATAACTCCACCATTGGTATCAGTGACTGCAATAATAATCCCCAGCATTGGTGTCAGTAACTTCAATAATAATTCCAAGAATTGGTGTGAGTTGCCACAATAATAATCCCCAGCACTGGTGTCAGTGACTGCAATAATAACCCCCAGCAGGGGCGGACTGACCATTTGGAAACTCGGGCACTGCCCGAGGGCCCGGGGTCAGTAGGGGGCCCCATGAGATGCCCCTGGTACCTTTTTCATAGGCTTTTTTGAGTTTGGGCAAGGACACAGGGGCCCCATGATCCCCTACTGACCGGGGGCCCCATGAGTTGTCAGTCCGCCCCTGACCCCCAGCATAAGTGTCAGCGACTGCAATAATAACTTCCAGCGCTGTTATGAATGACTGCAGCAATAACCTCCAGCATTGGTGTCAGTGATTGCAATAACAACACCCAGCATGGTGTGACTGACTGTAATAATAACCCCCGGCATTGGTGTCAGTCACTGTAGTAATAACCCCCAACACTGAAGTCAGTGGCCGCAAGTATAATCCCCAGCATTGGTGCCAGTGACTACATATATAACCCCAAGCATTGGTGTTAGTCACCACAATACTAATCCTCAGCATTTGTGTCACTTGCTGCAATAATAACCCCCAACATTGGTGTCAGTGACTGCAATAAAAACCTTCAGTATTGGTATGAATGACTGCAAAAATAACCCCCAGCATTGGTGTCAGTGACTGCGATATTAAGCCCCAACACTGTTGTCAGTGACTGCAATAGAAAAACTCTAGCATTGGTGTCAGTGACCCCATTAATAACTCCCAGCATTGGTGCTAGTCACCACAATAATAACCACAAGAATTGGTGTCAGTCACCACAATAACAACCCTCCCCATTGGTGTCAGTGACTGCTGTAATAATCCCCAGCACTTGTGTGAGTAACTGCAGCATTGATGTTAGTGACTGCTATAATAACCTCCGGCGTTGATGTGAGTGACTGCAGTAATAACCGACAGCGCTGGTGTAGCACCCTCTAGTGTGCTACTAGTGTTAGTGTAGGTACATTTATTATGTTATGACTCATAGTAACTGAGTGAGTCTGTAATTAGTTTAGGTTACTGCAGGTCTGGTTGGGTGACTCAGCAGGTAGGGACTCCACCTGGTTTTGGAGGACCCTGGAAGTTTCCAGAAACCAGTGAGCAGGAGGGGTGATCTAACTCTGCATGCTTATGGGAGTCTGGACAATCCCAGGTTTGGTGGCCCTTGTAGCGTGGTAAGGCTAACCCATAAATATGAGAGAGACACCTTTACAGGGGCTGAGAGTCCCTAGGGGCTTTTGCTACTGATCTGTAAAGACTGACCACATTCAAGGAGAACAGTTCCAGGATCTTTTTTTGTAAAAAGGAAGGAAGTTGTCCCCGTGCACTGATTTAGTCAAGTTGGGCATCCCATAATCCTTGTTACCCTATCCAAGTTATTTCCCCTAATAAAATAATAAAAATCAAGCTCATGGACTGTTCACCAACTGTAGATGCAAGTGTGGAAAATGCATGTTGTCTGGCTGAGCGAAGCTTAGGGGGACCCAGAAACACAGCGGCCCTCAAGAGGCTAGTGCTACAACGGTGTTGGTGGCTGCAGTAATAACCTCCAGCATTGGTGTGAATCACTGCAGTAATAACCTCCAACATTGATGTGAGTCAATGGAGTAATAACCTCCAACATTGGTGTGAGTCACTGCAATAATATCCTCCAGCATTGGTGTGAATCACTGCAGTAATAACCTCCAGCATTGGTGTGAGTCACTGCAATAATAACCTCCGGCATTGGTGTGAGTCACTGCAGTAATAACCTCCGGCATTGGTGTGAGTCACTGCAGTAATAACCTCCGGCATTGGTGTGAGTCACTGCAATAATAACCTCCGGCATTGGTGTGAGTCACTGCAGTAATAACCTCCGGCATTGGTGTGAGTCACTGCAATAATAACCTCCGGCATTGGTGTGAGTCACTGCAGTAATAACCTCCAGCATTGGTGTGAGTCACTGCAGTTTTAACCTCCAGCATTGGTGTGAGTCACTTCAGTAATAACCTCCAGCGTTGGTGTGAGCCACTGCAGTAATAACCTGCACCACTGATGTAAGTCACTGCAATAATATCCTCCAGAATTGGTGTGAGTCACTGCAGTAATTACCTCCAGCATCGGTGTGAGTCACTGCAGTAATTACCTCCAGCATCGGTGTTAGTGACTGTAGAAATAACCTCCAGCATTGGTGTGAGTCACTGCAGTAATAACCTCCAGCATTGGTGTGAGTCACTGCAGTAATAACCTCCAGCATTGGTGTGAGTCACTGCAATAATTACCTCCAGCACTGGTGTGAGTCACTGCAATAATTACCTCCAGCATTGGTGTGAGTCACTGCAATAATTACCTCCAGCACTGGTGTGAGTCACTGCAGTAATAACCTCCAGCATTGGTGTGAGTCATTGCAATAATTACCTCCAGCCTTGGAGTGAGTGACTGTAGAAAAAAACCTCCAGCATTAGAGAAGCAGTTCTTTTTGGGCCCATCTTCCCACTCCCCCATCTTTGTATGGGCAAGTGTCACTTACTTCAGGCCCTGCTTTAAGCTTCTACCTGAACTACTTGCTTGTTCCAATCCACCATGGACTTCCACATGTACTGCACTTTCCTCTCCCTGTGTTACAGTCTTCCATCTCCACTCATCCTCTCTACGTGGGGCACAGATAGGCTTAGTCCTTCCTACACAGCAGCATATTGCCGGCCTTAGTGAGTACTTACAGCACTGCAATATAGCATAGGTCTGCCCTTTAACCTGTGGTATGCGCCTCTGCTGCAGAAAGGGCTTTGTTGTTAAGCTTATGATTGAGCGCTGGTTTGTGGTGACACTGGTAAAGAAACATCACCTGCAACCTCTTTTATACAATGTATCAGCCAAATGATCAAACAGTCAGCAATGTGCAACATATTTACTCAATGAATGCAGGGTAGATTGACAATGCAGAAAGAATAGAGAGTATGCAATCAGTATTTAACAGAGAATAATGGTCGTAAAATTATAATGTTACCTGGGATGCAAAGAGTAGTTCCCACAGTTGACCAGTTGGTGGTACCACAATATTACAGGTTGCTAGAGAACAGGGAATAAGGGCCGTTCACTTGCAAAATAAATGGTGCAATATGTGGTGCAATGATGCAATATAGTCAAGTGCAAATGCAGTTACTTGCAGTTCTCTGACAAGGGGGTGTATCACCTCACTAGGAGGCTGGCTGTAGCTGATAGCTAGCTGGCCACAGGGATCTTGACCTAAAGACGTTAAACACCTTTGTGCACAGCTAAAAGTTCTGCATGTAATCAATTCAGAAGGTGGTGGCCTCCCTCCAACAAAATCAGTTTTTGGTCTTGCTAGACATGAACCCAGTGCAGCAACTCTGAAATACCAAAGTAGAGTAGAGGGCAGAAACAAGGGCAGTGTACAAACAGAAGTCAGTAAATGTCGGACAGTACATGTGGGCAGAAGTCCAGGGCCAGTCACAAGGCAAGCCAGGTCATACAATGGAGGACAGAACAGTAGATCAGGTCACAGATTTTCGGGAACTAGCTAAAGACCACACAGCAATTTCTCCATTCACTGTCCCAGTGTGTATAGGCTATTTGGCACCAACACCAGTGAAAAAAGTGCATGCACGCCCATGTGCATTCACGCTCCCGCACATGCTGTGCATGCCTGGTAGTCACCCTAAGTACAGTGCTCTGTGCTGTAATATGCCCTTGCATCATTGGATTGACTCAACCTTCGTGAAAAGCTCCAGTTGGCTGATGAACCTTTAGAAATTCTCTCTGACTCCAATGC